TGTTCTAGTTCTGTTCTAGTTCTGTTCTAGTTCTGTTCTAGTTCTGTTCTAGTTTCTGTTTTAGTTATGTTTTAGTTCTGTTCTAGTTCTGTTCTAGTTCTGTTCTAGTTCTGTTCTAGTTCTGTTCTAGTTCTGTTCTAGTTCTGTTCTAGTTCTGTTCCAATTAAATTCTAGTTCTGTTCTAGTTCTGTTTTAGTTCTGTTCTAGTTCTGTTCCAGTTCTGTTCTAGTTCTATTTTAGTTCTGTTCTAGTTTTGTTCTAGTTCTGTTCTAGTTATGTTCTAGTTCTGTTCTAGTTCTGTTCTAATTCTATTCTAGTTCAGTTCTGTTCTTTGGGAACTAACTCTAGAAACAGATTTTGCACATCTACTCAGTAATCGGTAACCGTTAAACCGATTACCATGTAACCTATTACAATACAAGAGTATTTCCACTATTATTTTATCTCTTTTATTGTTTCCACAACAAATAATTTATCGAAATATTTTCTGTTTATATCATCTTTCTCTTTGTTTATTGCAGTCATCACCTAAGTCTCCTCGGTGTTTGTTTTGCTAACAAAATCGTAAAAAAGCCAAAAAGGTGAATTTATGTGACAGACGTGCTTGAAAGTGAAATTGTTTGAATAACTTTTCGTACAAACGTGGAAAATGTAAATGTTGCAGTTGATAGAGGAAAAACTAAAAAAAAAGTATTTATCAAAGCCCCGATTAGAAGGGTGTAATATGATAATGGGTATTTCCGTAAATATGACACTACTAAGAGAACAAATTGAGAGAGACAGGGAGAGTAAAAATCTGATATCAAGATGAATATTTAAATTATTTGTTACATTGTCAAAGTTTTCTTTGTTTGTCAAAAAAAAATAACGGTGTTAATTAAAATTACATGATTAATTACTATAGAAAACTTTTGGTAAAGTTTTCTAAAAAAAATTTGGTAAAAAATTTCTTTAAAACAAAACCCTCTATAACAGTTATAAACCATAAAAATTAACAACAAAATTGAAAAAAAACAACATATTTCAAATAACAAAAATAAACCATTAAAAAACAATTAAAAACTTCACATGACTCTGACATATAGTCAGGGACAAACTAATGATATTGACAGTAATACGAAATAATACAAACAAAGAGAGAACAACTACAAGAGAGTAAATTCAGACAAAAAAAAAAAAAAAAAAAGAAATTTCTAATAGCAGCCGGTTTTCAAAACTGAATTTAAGTCAATGATGTTAAAACTAACAATAATGAAGTTGAAGCTGTTTATCAACCAGCTAATGAAGATCATTATTATAAACAGAAAATTTAAAACTGCTGATCTTGCTCAAGACCACAATAGAGAGAGATAGAGAAATAACTAAATAAAAGAAAACTTATGAAAAAATATATAAAAAGTAAGGTTAACTAAAGCTTAATTAAACAATAGTTTTTTTTTTTAAGTTTTAAATAAAATGAATGAAATTCATTGAGAATTTTATTTGAGAAAAAAAATACATAAAGAAATTCTCTTAAAACATATCTTGTTAAGGTTTAAGTTGAAGAAGTATTAAAAACAATGTACGATTTTTGTTTTTAAAGAAAATAAATTTCACTTTGGTGTCAATTTTTTCTTATATTTTTCATAAAACTAAAGAAATCATTGTTATGTTAAATTTTATAATGCAATATAAAAGAGATTATTGTTGTTTACGGATGTGTTGGAAAAAACTGGGAAGCTTACATCATTTTTTATTATTATACATTGATCATTTTTTAAAAAAATATTAATAATTTCACTTTTTTAAAGCAGAGATTTGATGATCTATAGTCCAAACTACAGACTCAACTATGGTTCAGACAATAGACTTAACTATAGACTCAAATATAGTCCAGACTAAAGACTAATGTATAGTCCAGACTATAGGCTAATCTATAGTACAGACTAATACATAGACTATAGTCCAGACTATACACTAATCTATAGTCCAGACTATGGACTAAGCTATAGTCCAGATTATAGACTTTTTTATAGTTCACACTATAGACTAAGTTATAGTCCAGACTATGGCCTAACTTATAGTAGATATTTTAGACTAGATTAAAGACTAATATATTGTCCAGACTAAACACTAATCTATAGTCCAGACTAAAGACTATTCTACAGCCCACACTAAAGACTGTTCAATAGTCCAGACTATAGACTGACCTATATTCCAGACTACAGACTGTTCTATATTCCAGACTATAGACTGTTCTATATTCCAGACTATAGACTGTTCTATATTCCAGACTATAAACTGTTCTATAGTCCAGACTATAGACTGTTCTATAGTCCAGACTATATACTGTTCTCTAGATCAAACTATAAACTGTTCTATAGTCCAAACTATAAACTGTTCCATAGTCCTGAATATAGACTGTTCTATAGCCCTGACTAAAGACTGTTCTATAATCCAGACCATACTCTGTTCTATAGCCCAGACTATATACTGTTCTTTGGTCCAGACTATAGACTATTCTATAATGCAGACTAAGACTGTTCTATAGTCCAGACTAAAAACTGTTCTATAGTTAAGACTATAGACTGTTCTTAGTCCAGACTATAGACTGTTCTATAGTCTAGACTAATGACTGTTCTATAGTCTAGACTATAAACTGTTCTATAGTCCAGACTATAGACTGTTCTATAGTCCGGACTATAGACTGTTCTATAGTATAGACTATAGACTGTTTTATAGTATAGACTATAGACTGTTCTATAGTCCAGACTATAGACTATTCTATAGTCCAGACTATAGACTATTCTATAGTCCAGACTATAGACTATTCTATAGTCCAGACTATAGACTATTCTATAGTCCAGACTATAGACTGTTCTATAGTCCAGACTATAGACTGTTCTATATTCCAGACTATAGACTGTTCTATAGTCCAGACTATAGACTGTTCTATAGTATAGACTATAGACTGTTCTATATTCCAGACTATAGACTGTTCTATAGTCCAGACTATAGACTGTTCTATCGTATAGACTATAGACTGTTCTATAGTCCAGACTATAGACTGTTCTATAGTCCAGACTATAGACTTCTATAGTCCAGACTATAGACTTCTATAGTCCAGACTATAGACTTCTATAGTCCAGACTATAGACTGTTCTATAGTCCAGACTATAGACTATTCTATAGTCCAGACTATAGACTGTTCTATAGTCCAGACTATAGACTGTTCTATAGTCCAAACTATAGACTGTTCTATAGTCCAGACTATAGACTGTTCTATAGTCCAGACTATAGACTGTTCTATAGTCCAGACTATAGACTGTTCTATAGTCCAGACTATAGACTGTTCTATAGTCCAGACTATAGACTGTTCTATAGTCCAGACTATAGACTGTTCTATAGTCCAGACTATAGACTGTTCTATAGTCCAGACTATAGACTGTTCTATAGTCCAGACTATAGACTGTTCTATAGTCCAGACTATAGACTGTTCTATAGTCCAGACTATAGACTGTTCTATAGTCCAGACTATAGACTGTTCTATAGTCCAGACTATAGACTGTTCTATAGTCCAGACTATAGACTGTTCTATAGTCCAGACTATAGACTGTTCTATAGTATAGACTATAGACTGTTCTATAGTCCAGACTATTGACTGTTCTATAGTCCAGACTATAGACTGTTCTTTGGTCCAGACTATAGACTGTTCTTTGGTCCAGACTATAAACTATTCTATAGTGCAGACTATAGACTGCTCTATAGTCTAGACTAAAGACTGTTCTATAGTCTAGACAATAAACTGTTCTATAGTCCAGACTATAGACTGTTCTATAGTCCAGACTATAGACTGTTCTATAGTCCAGACTATAGACTGTACTATAGTGCGAACTATAAAATGTACTATAGTCCTGAATATAGACTGTTCTATAGTCCCGACTTAAGACTGTTCTATAATCCAGACTATACTCTGTTCTATAGTCCAGACTATATACTGTTCTTTGGTCCAGACTATAGACTATTACATAGTGCAGACTATAGACTGCTCTATAATCCAGACTATAGACTGTACTATAGTGCAGACTATAGACTGTACTATAGTGCAGACTATAGACTGTTCTATAGTCCACACTATAGACTGTTCTATAGTCCAGACTATAGACTGTTCTCTAGTCCAAACTATAAACTGTTCTATAGTCCTGAATATAGACTGTTCTATAGTCCCGACTTAAGACTGTTCTATAATCCAGACTATACTCTGTTCTATAGTCCAGACTATATACTGTTCTTTGGTCCAGACTATAGACTATTCCATAGTGCAGACTATAGACTGCTCTATAGTCCAGGCTATAGACTGTTCTATAGTTAAGACTATAGACTATTCTTAGTCCAGACTATAGACTGTTCATAGTCCAGATTATAGACTGTTCTATAGTCCATACTATAGACTGTTCTATAGTATAGACTATAGACTGTTCTATAGTGCAGACTATTGACTGTTCTATAGTCCAGACTATAGACTGTTCTTTGGTCCAGACTATAGACTATTCTATAGTGCAGACTATAGACTGCTCTATAGTCTAGACTAAAGACTGTTCTATAGTCTAGACAATAAACTGTTCTATAGTCCAGACTATAGACTGTTCTATAGTCCAGACTATAGACTGCTTTATAGTCCAGACTATAGACTGCTTTATAGTCCAGACTATTCTAAAGGCCAAACTATAGACTGTTCTATAGTCCAAACTATGGACTTTTCTATAGTCCAAACTATAGACTTCCAGACTATATAATCTTATGATCAACATCCTTAAATATACATTGTTTTCCCATCTTCTTCAGAGACTAATGTTTGATTCAGAAGATTAATTGTTCATGAAAGATCTTTCTGCCGAGAACTGTTTTAAAAATTTCTAGAATATTTTCTATTCATAAAATCAAGAATTTCAATTCAAAAGAGTTCAACTTGTATAATAAAATGGATTATTTAATAAAAAAAAGGAATTCCAAGTACTCACCTCAAAGTTGTAGTAACAAAATATCGGTTTATATCACGTATCGTTTCCGTTTAATTTCGTTTTTCAGCAAATTTCTAGCAACACTTAAAATTTTTCAAATAATTTGTGATGTTAAATACTAAAAAAACAAAATTATAAACAAATGATAAAAATACATATATTTTAAACAAATTTAAATTAATTATATTTTTAATATTTTTATTTAATTTTTAAACAATATTTTTGTTGCCTTTTTTTAACGCATTTTCTAGCAAACCTTTTCAAAACTAGTTTTTTTAACTTTTTCAAAACAACCGGTATTGAAAATTGTATTTTATTAATTGTTTTTTTTTTATATTATATATAATTTTATGTTTTATTTTTGTATTTTTTATGCATATGTGGCATGCAACGTTTCCACGCACTTAATTCTTGGCTTTTTATTTTATTATTTTTTTTGTTCAGTACTTCTTTGTTGCCTCTTTGTGTTGCAATACAAAGCTGTGTTTTTTGCTGCTGTTGTTGTTTTTTTTATTCTTCCAGTTTTTTTTTAACCAACAAGTTATTGCACCTGGCGTTTTGTGCGAATTTGTTGTATTTACAAGTAATTTTATATTATTTAGAAAAAAAAAAAAAAAAACAAAACCTTTCAACGTTGTCAATGTCGGTAAGTTTGACTCGGACTGTCGGTAAATGCGAACATGTTGAAATGTGTTGCAGCAGATGAGTAAGTCGACAATCGTCTCTCAGTGCTGGTTTTAGGAAATGTGAGAAAGAAATTTTGTTGAGGTATGTAGAAGTATTAGGGGTTTGTAAAAGTTTCGGTATGAAATAGATCAAATTGATCATGAAATCTAATATTTCATTAGTCCAGTCTATAGACTAATACATAGTTCAGACTATAGACTAATCTATAGACCAGATAATAGACTTATCATTTGTCCAAGCAATAGAGAAATCTATAGTCCAGACAAAAGACTAATGTATAGTCCATACTGTAGAGTAATCTATGGTCCAGAATCTGGACTTTAATCTAGACAATAGATTAATTTATAGTCCAGATTATAGACTAATCTATAATCAAGACTATAGTCTAGACTGTAAACTAATCTATAATCTAGATTATTGACTAATCTATAGTCCAGAATATAGACTATTCTATAGTCCAGACTATAGACTAATTTATACTAGAGACTATAGACTAATCTATACACCGGAATATAGACTAATCTATAGTCCAGGCTATAGACTAATCTATAGACCAGACTGTAGACTAATCTATAGTTTAGACTATAGTCTAATTTATAGCCCAGAGTATTAGACTACAGTGTGGTCTAAAGATTATACTATGGTCTGGACTGTAGATCATACTATAGTCTGAACTGAAGATTAGTCTATAGTTTGTACTATAGATTAGTCTGTAGTCTGGACTATAGATTAGTCTATAGTCTGGACTATAGATTAGTCTATAGTCTGTACTATAGATTAGTCTATAGTTTAGATTATAAATTAGCCTATAGTCTAGACTATAGATTAGTCTATAGTCTGGTCTATAGATTAGTCTATAATCTGGACTATAGATTAGTCTATAGTGGACTATAGAATAGTCTATAGTCAGGACAATAGATTAGTTTATAGTCTGGACTATAGATTAGTCTATAGTTTGGATTATAAATTAGCCTATAGTCTGGACTTTAGATTAGTCTTTAAGTCTGGTCTATAGATTAGTCTATAATCTGGACTATAGATTAGTCTATAGTGGTCTATAGATTAGTCTATAGTCTAGACTATAGACTATTCTATAGTCCAGATTATAGACTATTCTATAGTCCAGATTATAGACTAATCTATAGACCACTATAGACTAATCTATAGTCCAGATTATAGACTAATCTATAGACCAGACTTAAAGACTAATCTAAAGTCCAGACTATAGGCTAATTTATAATCCAAACTATAGACTAATCTATAGTCCAGACTATAAACTAATCTATTGTCCTCACTATAGACTATTCTATAGTCCAGACTTTAGAATAATCTATAGTCTAGACAAATCAATAGACTACAGACTCTAGACTATGCAATAGTCCAGACTATAGACTAAACTATAGTCCATACTATAGACTATTATATAGTCCAGTCTGTAGTCTGGACTATAGATTAGTCTATAGTCTAGACTATAGTCTAGACTATAGACTATTCTATAGTCCAGACTATTCTATAGTCCACTATAGACTAATCTATAGTCCAGATTATAGACTAATCTATAGACCAGACTATAGACTAATCTATAGTCTAGACTATAGGCTAATTTATAATCCAAACTATAGACTAATCTATAGTACAGACTATAGACTAATCTATAGTCCAGACTATAGACTAATCTATAGTCCAGACTACAGACTAATCTATAGTACAAACTATAGACTAATCTTCAGTTCAGACTATAGTATGATCTACAGTCCAGACCATAGTACAATCTTTAGTCCACACTGTAGTCTAAACTCTAGTCTGTTGAAGTTTTACAAACTAATAATCCAGACTGTGGACTAATATATAGTCTCTCCTTTCATTCTTCCAACTCCGCAATTTCTTTTCAAAATTTATTAAATTTTTGCTTCAAAACTTGTAATTTAGATCTTTTGGAAATTATTTTTCTATTAACCGTTTTATATCGATTCAAAAATCCCTATTACCCCGAATATATTTAATTATTGTCACTGTCATGCTTAACTAACACTATTATTATCATCACACTATCATCTCTTTCTGCCTCTTTACTTGTCATATTCATCACTTGTTCTCAAACTCTACCTCACTCTCTCGTTCTCTCCTAGTTTTGAAAACTCTTTATGATTTAGCTCTTTTTAATAGAGTCTTAATTATATGAATGTATTAGAAAATCAGCAGCAACTAATATAACGAGATATTTAAGTCTTTAGTTTAGGCCTTGTTATAATTTCTACGCTTTTTTTTCATAGAAAATATTTGTACCATTTATACTGGTACATACATATAACCGCCCGTCAGACTGTCTATTTGTCTGGCCAACTAAAACGAGGGTGGTATGAAAAGTACAGTAACAATGTAGGAGATAATTTTGGAAGTTTAAAGAAATATTAATATAAAAACTTTAAGCTCGATATTTTTCTCTCTCCCTCTTTCTGTCAAATTATTTCCCCATAATTCATAATTTCTTCGAACTTCTTATTTGTATAGATTCAACTTTTCTTATCTCTTTTGAACTCCATATAAACCCAACATGAAATCCACCTCAGATCAGAGGGCGTTTCGATTGCAATAAAGCTTCTGGAAGCTCTAAAATGTTGCTTGCTAGAAAACTTCTTCATGATGTAAAGTATGGCCGACGTTTTTAATACTGAATTTAAGTTTTACAATCTTTAGGCCTCGATATCTGACGTGAAGCAGAAATCTGTAATTAGCTCAGATCTATACTATAGGAAACTATACTTTGCTCTCTGGACTGTGACTTTAGATTAAGCAACATCCATATAGATATGTAGGGTCTTGAGTCCTTATTGATTTTTTCTTGGGTTTTTTGAAGTTGTAACGATTAAGATCAACGACCATATTAAATCGGAATAGTTTAAACCCCAAGGGCATTTTTCGTAACCGATTGTCAGGTTTAACTACATCCCAACTATGAGAAAAAGAAATACCTGGGCGTATCAGATCAAGAAAGAAAATGACATGTGGAAATATTACTCTTTCCTAATTTCTACAGTCTTTTTATTACTTTGGTCCCAGAGAGATCAATCCGTTTCTTCAAACAAATGTGTGTCTTTTGGTGACGTATTTGTCAGAGAGTTCAGGAGCAGAATGAATATCGAATGAGAAATTTAGTTCCAAGTTTTAGCATAATGTCCATATCGACAAGTGTTTTCGAAATCAAAGTTTATTCGATCACATTTACGGTCATTCGCCCCCAGATCAAAAGCATTTTCGATATTCTGCAAGTGATAATAGCAGCAAACCGCTATCTGGAATCCAAATCAATTCGTCTGAGTGTCATCTAAGTTGGTACATTTCGTCATTATCATGTTCGAGATGTGAGTTACGTTAAGAGATACAAGACTGTATATGTAGAAGGTTATGTGCGTCATCTCTAGATTTTATTCTCGGATGTTTCTCTCGGATGCAAATCACATTTAATGTAGGTATCAGTGGCAGCTATATCTAGCAAGACAGTTTTTCCCCCACAGGTGCATGTTACCTTGAACCGCCCTCACCTTAGTGTTTGTTATTGCAATCAGGGGATTTAGAGGGATTACCAATACCACTAGTTTCTCTGGACTAAAAACTGGAGGATTCAAATGAAAATTGACTTGATAGCATACAGAATGAAACACGGGGTTTTCCATACACCACCCGCATAAACAAGTGATTGTTTCGGCAGTTTTTCTCTATGAATGTATCGGTTAATAGAGTTGGATTGTATTATCGATAAAAATTTAGTATAGGCCTTACGACCACTGTCTACAACCAGTGCGGAAAGTAAGGTTTAAGTGTTCATCGTTTTCCAAAAAGTTTCTTTACTTATTCGACTCTCCTTAATCATTCGATTCTTATTACGTTTTCACTAGAGCTTAGGGTCCAAAATAACACTTCAAAACTATAACATCCAGTTGAGTTGTTTGAAAGTCTAGAATTCTATATACTCTGTTAAAAAGTATTAATTCATTATTTATCGGATTGACCCTCTAGACCGTTTTTCCTTTTGCATAATAATAGCTCTTCCAAGGTGTCTTCCTTTAGGAAATGAAAGGTTATATTAATTCCCAAGCGGACTTACGAGTGAAGAACATTTCTTGAGAGATCCTAGAGATTTCTTCAGATTGTATTCTTAAAAGACAAACCTAGGCACTGTTGGGGTGCCATCCGATTTTCTAACCTTTTACGACTACCCTCCTATTAGTTGGCTGCTTGTTTTTGGTGTTATATTCATTAGATTCTTTCTAATTCTGGTCTCTGTCAGTCTGGTTTTAAGGTGAATGCACTGGCAGTATGTTGTGCTCTAATGTTCTCAATTTCTAACAGATTGAGAGGTTATAACATGAGCTCTCTTTCTTTTTCTCTCTCTCTGAAAATGTTTATTATTTTCTTTAATTTCTTTACAAATTCGTAACGATAGAAGGGCAATTATTAAGAAAAAGTGTTAAATTTTTAATAAATTTTTTTTGTTAAAACAAAATTTTGCAAAATTTTTAAAACTTTTATGTTTTGATAAAGAGTTTAGAGCTAAATATTTTTAAATTAATTAGACTAATTTTCTGTAATTTCAATTTTATATTTCTTTTCAAATTATCTAGATGTTAGTGAGATCTATAAAACCTCCGATAAAACGGTTAATTTTACGATTTTTTTTCTCTAGAATTTGTAGTTTATGTGGTTGGGTTTTTAAAACAGGTTACATAAATAGGTCAATTCACATATTTTTCAACAGGTTACTTTGCCTGAATGCACTTCCTGGTTTCAATTTTATGTGGCATACAACACACACACACACACGCTCTTACACCATGCTACACAAACTGCTAGCTTTACCACACTCACTTTATAGATAATTTGCTGTTGTTTTTGTTTTAATAAAGATTTATTTTTTTTTGTTATATTTTTTCAGATAAAAAAAAGCACTTGCTGTTTGTTAGTGGGTTTTGTTTAATTAATTTATTGCATTTTCCTTAAATTATTTTCACTTCAGTTATTTTTTCTGCGTACACTACGCTACACTCTCGTCTCGTTTCTATATATTTTTTTTCATTAAACAGAAAAACAAAATACCAGCAACAACAACAACAACTTAAAACCCGCTTTTGCTTTGAGTATCTACACCTTTTTTTCTTTGTTTTTTTTTTTAGATTTTATAATTCTTGTTATTTTTTTGCTTTTATTTCTCACCACTTTTAATAAACCGTTTACTGGGTTTGTTTCTTTTTTTTATATTATTTCACTTATTTGTTTTTCCTCTTTTCACTGTTTATTTTTATTTCCCACTGTTCTTTTTTCCGCTAAAGACAACTTAACACGACGACAGGTAAACTCGTACTAAACTGTAACGTATTCCATTTGACTGGTTTGTGTTAAATCGTTTATCAACATGTTTTTGTTAGCTCTTCTTCGTTTTTTGTCCATTCTCTCCGTGTTCCATTACGCTCTGCCATTACGGCTGTTAGATCATTTGTTGGTATAAGTGAGCGTCCGTAATGAGCGTGTGTAAAGAGTTTTTGTAATTTTTCGCCGGCTTGTCTCAAATGATGCAACAAGTGTTTAAAAGCTACACAAAAAAAAAATAAACAAAACAACCGTTTATTGGCAACAACCAGTAGTCAGTGTTTCAAATATTCCATTTTTATTGTTGCAACAAAGCCATACCTTTCCATATACATACCTACCGTTATCTACTTGTCAATAAAGGAAATTAAATCTGCCTAAAAGTATGCTCTAATTTCTGTTTTTATTTTCAAAACATAAACATCTACACTGAACAAAAATGTTATGGAAGAAAATATGTAATACGGGTCGTCCCAAGTTTAGTTATATTTCAGCTCTAGCTGCTTCAAGTTTAGTTCCTATTTAGAAATAGTATAATTCTAGTTCCAATTTAGTTCATTTCTAGTTTAATTCTTAATCAGTTGTATTTCCGTTCACCTTTAATTGGAAATTAGATCTTGCTTAGTTCGAGTTCAGTTTTCATTCTCAATCAGTTTTAGTTTTGTTCCAGTTCTCTTCTATTTATATTCCTTTCTGCTCTACCTCTGTTCTGGTTCTATTCTCATAGTGTTCTGAATTAGTTTTAATTCAGTTCTAGTTCTGTTCTAATTCAGTTCTAGTTCTGTTCTACTTCACTTCTAGTTTTGATCTAGTTTTGTTTCAATTCTATTCTAGATCAGTTTTAGTTCAGTTCCAGTTCAGCTTTATTTCAGTTCTAGTTCTGTTCTAGTTCAGTTCTAGTTCATTCCTATTTCAGTTCTAGTTCTATTCTAGTTTTGTTCTTTTCTGTTCTAGTACGGTTTTAGTTCAGTTCTAGTTCACTTCACTTAAGTTCAGTTCTAGTTCTGTTCTAGTTCAGTTCCAGTTCAGTTCTGTTCTAATTCAGTTTTAATTCAGTTCTAGTTCTGTTCTAGTTCAGTTTTAGATCAGTTCTAGTTCAGTTCTAGTTCAGTTCTAGTTCTGTTCTAGTTCAGTTCCAGTTCAGTTCTGGTTCTGTTCTAGTTCAGTTCTAGTTCAGTTCTAGTTCAGTTCTAGTTTAGTTCTAGTTCTGTTCTAGTTCAGTTCTAGTTCTGTTCTAGTTTAGTTCTGTTCTAGTTTAGTTCTGTTCTAGTTCAGTTCTAGTTCAGTTCCAATCCAGTTCAGCTCTAGTTCTAGTTCAGTTATGTTCAGTTCTAGTTAATTTCTAGTTAAGTTCTAGTTCAGTTCTAGGTCACTTCTAATTCTGTTCTAGTTCTGCATTAATTGTGTTCTACTTCAGTTTAGTTCGAATTCAGTTCTAGTTCAGATTTAATTCAGTTCTAGTTCTCTTCTAGTTTAGTTCTAGTTCAGTTCTAGTTCCCTTCTAGTTTAGTTCTAGTTCAGTACTAGTTCTAGTCTAGTTTAGTTCTAGTTCAGTTCTAATTCTTCAGTTCAGATCTATTTTAGTTCAGTTCTAATGCAGTTCAAGTTCAGTTCTGGTTTAGTTCTAGTTCAGTTCTAGTTCAGTTCTAGTTCTGTTCTAGTTCTGTTCTAGTTCTGTTCTAGTTCAGTTCTAGTTAAGTTCTAGTTCAGTTCTAGTTAAGTTCTAGTTCAATTCTATGTCACTTCTAATTCAGTTCTAGTTCAGATTTAATTCAGTTCTAGTACTGTTCTAGTTCATTTCTAGTTCAGTTCCAGTACAGTTCTAGTTCATTTCTAGTTCAGTTCTAATTCGGTTCTAGTTTAGCTCTAGTTCAGTTCTAGTTTAGTTCTAGTTCAGTTCTAGCTCAGTTCTAGTCGTAACTCAGTTTTAGTTCAGTGCCAGTTTAATTCTTGTTCAGTTGTTGTCGTTGTTGTAACAGATTGGCGTAACTGGATGTTCTTCCCTGGGGAAAAAAACTTCCGGTTGATACAGTTGTTGCTGAGTTGACAATCTTTGGCCGATTGAGAATCGGATCGTTCCGGAGCGGGGATCCAATTGTCCTGGGAACTTAGTTCAGTTGTAGTTCAATTCTATGTCAGTTCTTATTCAGTTATTCTTGTTCAGTTCAGTTCTACTTCAGTTCTGGTTCAGTTCTAGTTCAGTTCTACTTCAGTTCTGGTTCAGTTCCAGTTCAGTTCTAGTTCAGTTCTATTTCACTTCTAGTTCAGTTCTAGTTCAGTTCTAGTTCAGTTCGAGTTCAGTTCTAGTTCACTTCTTGTTCAGTTCCAGGAGTTGTAGTTGTTCTAGTTCAGTTCTTCTTCAGTTCTAGTTCAATTCTAATTCAGTTCTAGTTTATTTTCAGTTCAGTTTCACTTTAGTTCTAGTTCAGTTCTACTTCAGTTCTAGTACAGTTCCAGTTTAGTTCTAGTTCCGTTCTAATTGTGTTCAAGTTATCTGCTAGTTCTGTTCAAATTCTGCCAGGTTCTGTTCTAATTCTGCTTTAGTTCTGTCTAGTCCTGTTTTAGGTCTGTTTTAGTTCAGTTCTAGTTCTATTCTAGTTCTCTTCAGGTTCTGTGCTTGTTCTGTTCTAGTTTAATTCTAGTTCTGTTTTACTTCTATTCTTCTTCTTCTTGTTCTAGTTTTGTTCTAGATCTATTCTAGTTCTATTTTAGTTCTCTGCTAGTTCTGTTCTAGTTCTCTTCTACGTCTATTGTAGATCTGTGTTAGTTTTGTTCTAGTTCAATTCTGCTCCAGTCCAGTTTCAGCTCAGTTTTAGTTCTGTTCAATTTCAATTCTAGTAATTTGCTGGTACTATTCTAGTTCTTTCCTTTCATTTCTTTCCTGTTCTACTTGTGTTCTAGTTCTAGTCCTCTTCTAATTCTGTAATTTTATATCAGAAGATCCTCAGCGGTCTTTTTGTTGTAGTTGCCGGAATATTTATATATTTTAAATAGTTTAAAATTGTAAAAAACATTTTCTTAAAATTTAATTTTTATTTTAAAATTTTCAACTTTTTCAAAACCTGATTTATTGAAACATTATATGATTTTGTGTATGTATTACTTGTGGTGTTATTAATTAAGTACTTAATTCGGTAAGTAGGTAATTAGCATCATATTTTATTTATTTGTTTGTATATATATACTATATGTATGTCCAATTAACAAGAGTATATTTTGACTTAAAAAATAACTCTTTTTTTTTTTTTTTTTGAGAGCAAATACTAATTATCTATACAAAAGTGAATTAGTAATTGCATTTATAATTTTAAGAGGCATATCCAGAAGGATATGTCACAAGACTAACTATAACGACTAAGGTAATGATAATTAAAAGTTTATGAAACAAATTACTTGCAATATGATTTTTTACTATTGTAATAAAATTAACTTTTTTGAAAAAAGGCTACAAATTAAATGTAGGGGGGCAATTATATATTAAAAATTAAAGAAAAACGATAAAAAAACAAAAAAATAATAATAAAATTCAAAGAAAATTTAAAATAGAATTGCTACCATTATTTTAAAAATTGGTTTTTCAGTTAAGAACATAAAATTAATTATAAGGTTTAAGGGTTGGTAGTGTTTATGTTGGAGGTGTTGGTGTTGTTGTGGTGGTTGGTACAGGCTGCTTAAGCGGTAAGTATTATTTCAGCAGAACTTCCAGCGATTACCGCATTCATTACACATGACAAAAGTGGTCATAGGTTCATCAGATGAACGTGTTTGCAGTTGATTATAGGTACAATTACGTTTCTTACATTTGCCACACTTAAGCAGATCCGTTTTGGTGCCCTGTACTGTGGCCAATTGGGCATCATTAATAGCTTCTTTGACAAATTTCTCTCTTAGCTTTTTCATTTCATCACTGGCCATTTCTTCGGGCGTCATTTTAGCCAATTGCTGAGCAGTAATGGCACCACACATGTAATTGCCACGCAAGGTGCGATTTTTGGGATCTTTCAAATTGGCCACCCGAGAGCGTATGCGATTTTTGTATTTCATATCGGTATTTCTGAATTCAGCATAAATGGCTTCCTCCAGCTCTATGGCCATTTCTTCCGGTTCCGGCCAACCCTCCATGGCTTCACCCACTTTCAGGGCATTGCAAAGCATTTCACGGCATTTCAAACGCACCGCATCCGTCATGCCCGACGAAGCGGGAAAAGAGGTTTGTGTCGGCCGACGTTCATCTTTGGTTGACGACGATGAGGAGGAGGAGGAAGATTTTTTCTCATCTTTTTATCTTTGTCTTTAGAGGAGGAGGAGTTGTTGGAAGAGGATTTCTCTTTATCTTTGCTGGATGAGGAACTAGACTTGCTAGCCGAGGAGGATTTGCTGTCACTGCCGGATTTGCTAGAATCTTTGCCCGCCGTCGAACCGGGTGCAGCTAAGAAACGTTTCCAGTTTTTGATTAAAGTCTTAGCCAAGGCTATAACCTCTTCGTCTTTGCTGCTTTTGCGTAACTCATTGACGGTCATGCCAATGCGGGTTTTTGTCAAAATTTCCAAATTAATATTGAGCGACTGTAAAGCCTTTAGTAGGTCCAAGGCTTGTTCTTGACCCTAGGAATATAAAACAGTTAATATCTCATTTAAATTTATAAATTAAAACAAATGTTCTTTATAACAATTTGAAATTTAGTCTGGTTACAAACCCTCTACCTAAAACAGCATAAGTCATTATTGTTCGAACACACAAATTTTAAGAAACACCGGCTGCTGGCTGGCTGTACTAGGTTTTAGCAACAGCACAACAACAACAGCAAAAATAATAAAAGGCGCGCATGAGACTCAC